CCTTTGTGGTGCAGCAAATACTCCTTTTCAAAGGGAAGTACTGTGACCATTTCACTGCAATCTTTTTCCCCCACCGTTACACCAGTGGGAGTCAAGCATTCCGGCCATGTAGACAATATACCTTCCAATGGCAGGAAAAGGTGATGTAGAAGAGTCTGGCCCCTGTCACACAATTGTAGATGTAGGTAGTACAGCTGTTTGTCCAGCACTGCCTTCTAGGTCACGCTGCTTGTGAGAGAGAGGATGCTGCTCAAGTTTCCGCTGTGTGAGTAATTCAAAGGAGCCTGCTCTTTTCCACAGGGACTCAGACCTGTGCAAGAAATGGGCCATAGTCCAGGAGAACTGTTCAGGCAGAAACATCCTGCTCCCAGTTGCCATGTGTTCCACGGGGCTCATGGTTCCTCCTCTGTCATGGATAAAACTGCTCTGGAACAGGCACTGGGAAATGTGGTGGCCTCAAGGCTGAACATCTCAATTTACAGAGTATCTGCTTGAGACAAGGACACGCTTTCTCCAGAATCCCTCAGGAGAAGCAGCAGTTCCTGTTTCCTGGGGAAAAAAGGTCTTTGTTTCCAGCAGAATCCCAAAAGTCCTCTCAGAGGAAGAGCAGGATCACCAGGATACCCAGTGCTTAATGCTTTCAGTGCAAGGCACATCACTGTTGATCATTGCCTTTTCCCTCTATGCACCTTTGTGTTCTCCCTTTGAATTTTAAACAGTTAAAGAAAAAAACCCTCAAAAAAAAAATGTGTACAGTTTGAACACAGTGATGATTAAGCATTAATCACATTTGATGTGCTTTACCATTTTTAACTAAGCTCTGTGGGAGGAGGTTTCTCCTTTAACAGACAAAAATGATTTTTGTGTCAAGATAATGTACTAGAATGCTGAAGTGTTCATTTTGGAAAGCAAGATGTCCAGTACATTGATATTAACAATCCATTATTAGCAAAAGGATATACAATTTGGATGTTGCCTTGATTTCCTTAAGTGGGAGAGAGAGGAATGTAGTTTCGTCTACCAAATCAGTCTTGGTTTTCCTTGTAATTTGTTTTCTTTTTTTTTACTAAAAAGAAGAAAACTTTCCTATTTTGTTTTTATACTGTTAATGTAATTCATGTTTTTATAAGGACTGTGGCAGGCAGTGCATTAATTTGTGGCTTCCCGTTTTACTTAGAAAGTCATTTCTGTATTACCACGTGCTGCAATACAGCTGGCACAACACATGCCATGAGGTACACAGCTGTGCCAGGCCTCTCCACGGGCTGTGCTTAGCAGCTTTCTTCCTACTTGTTTGAACATAACCATCAAACTACACACCAGCTTTCGTGTCAGTAAAAATGCAGAGGTTTCAATTGATGATGACATATTCCAACCAACAATACACCTTATTAATAAGATATATCTATTCTATGATTATTGTACTAAATTTCTTGTCCAGGCTGTTTTGTCTGACAGACCAGCCCATGCAAATAAGAACACATAATACCCAAGTACATTTGTTAAAGTACTGAGGAGTTTGTGTTTGAACACTTAAAATGGGGACAGCAGTTGGTGAAGTATTTAGTAGTGGGAGAAATGAAATGCTTCCATCTTAATGACTGATGTGTCGCATCTGTGTGTGTTTTGAGATGCTGGTGCTTACCATAGGAAGCCAGGGTCAAAACTGGTCTTTTTGCAGTGTCTCAAAGCAAATGAGCAAGTGGTTTTGCGGGGCAAAAAGATGGAACACTCTGGCTCTGTGGGATTTACTAAATTCTTAATAAACTTGAGGAAGAGAGGAGATGCTGCCTCTGCAGTTAGTTTATGGTTTTAAATAAGCACATAAACTTCTGACAAGCTGTAGTTGCTATAAGCGGGATTTTTAGCATTGAACACTTCTCTTATCCAGCTGGAAAACAAAACAAAACTCGGCTGTTAATGAGGCAATGTTAATGCATTCATCTTTGCATTCCTTTAGAATTAACAAATCAACATGAAGCCCCTTAAAAGTGTAAATCAGTCTGTGGAACAGTAAAATGAAGCATCCTCATAGCTGGTGCACTGCAGCTCTGCCTTTAGGAGTTGCAGTTTCTTTAACCAAGGCGTGATGTTACTTTGCATTTGAAGAATCCGTGGCAAATCCAAATTTAATCCAGGCTCTCGGCTTCTACTGAAGTGATTTTTTAATTTTTAAATTTTTTTTTTAATCCATCGCAGCCCAACCTCCCATGGCAATCAGCGGTAATTCTTGTGCTAATGATGTCATTGTTCAGTCTCCCCACCACTACCAGGGGAAACTTACAGGCTCTCGTTGTTCACTGGCAACTGCCTTTGCTTGCATTTTCTGCTGAGGACAGGCTGCATTTACTCATCCGCTGTGCATTCCCTTTGTTTGGCTTGCCAGGGTTTTAAATATATTGTTTGCATATGGATGTCCCTCTGATTATATAGAGAAAATGAAGACTGTTGTGACTGACGGGGAAACTGAACAGTTTGTTCACCAAGCATGTAACACATTTAACTTTGGTAGCATATTTATAAACATGCTGTGTTTGAACTGGGTGATCTCATTGCCTCAGTGGAAGAGAGGTTATAAAGACACATGCTGAAGTCTTCATGTCTAGTGAAAAACATGGCCTTGGTAGCTCATGGAAAAATACACGTTTGTTGCTGACATAGAATTGTTGAACTAGAGCCATTTGTGGAGAGATGACAGAAGTATTACACTTAGTGCAGAGACACTAGGCTAAATGTGGCTAGATTAACTTTGAATTAAGCAGATTTAAAAAAATACAGTTTAAAGGGGAAAAAATTTAAAAATACCTCTGAAGAGATGAAAACAAACAAAAATCCCTGTGTTGCACTTCATAGAATCATAGAATGGTTAGAATTGGAAGGGACCTTAAAGATCATCTAGTTCCAACCCCCCTGCCATCAGCAGGGACACCTTCCACTAGACCAGGCTGCTCAAAGCCTCATCAAGCCTGGCCTTAAACCCTTCCAGGGAGGGGGCACCACAACTTCCTTGTGCAACCTGTTCCAGTGTCTGACCACCCACTTGAGTGGGTTAGAAATCTCTAGGTGTGTCTGAATCAAACACACTAGCTGTTGAACAATGTTTTGAAGAACAAACTTTGCTGGTCATGGTAACACCTGAAATATTTGAAATATTTGGAATATATTTGTGTGGTGTGTACAGTTCTATGCTAAATGAACACAAAGTGGGGAAGGACAGAGTTAAGTTTCCCCGAGTAATCTTAGCTCAGCTGTGGGCATGTAACATTAATATTTTTCCTCCCAAGGGTTCCTTATTTTCTGTAATAGACACGCTGGGGATTTAAGAGGCAGTTTTTGCATGCAGCACAAATCAGACGTGTCGGGGTGCTCTGAGTGATTTCACAGTGAGAAGGCAAAATGGGTAAAGTCCTCACTGCATATGCAGGGATCTAAGAAACACAAGTGTGCAGCATGGTTTTCTTCTCTTGTTCGTGACCTGGCATAGATAACGTGTGTCTGTGCCACACATGGAGGGGAAACGCATTCCCCGTTTCTTCACTGGCATCGCCTCCTGCATAAGGAAATCCATACCTGAGCCATTCTGTTTTCACAGTTGTGGCAGGAATATAGTGACCAATTTGCTCTAGAGGTACAAAAACCAGAGACATCTGTAAAGTAAATAATGTTCCTTTTGAGAAGTATCCAGCAATGCAGACCACTACAAGTTCAATATTGCAGGTAAAGCAGTGAGAAAATCTTTAAATCCAGATGAAATTTCAGAAATAAAGAGATGTTGTTGTAGAGGATGGAGAAAAGAGAACTTTTTTAAAAATAAAAGTTAATATTGGTGTCTCTCTGTCTTGTAGGTACGTATATTCTAACAACTGCTCTGCTGCCCCTCCTGGAAAAAGAAGCTGATGCCAGAGTGGTGAGTCTGTGATGCTGTTGCAAAGTGATATTCTGACCTTCTGGTTTGTGACCACATTTCTTTGACTGTGCTAGCAAAGCAGGATTAGTTAGAATGCTGGAAGCATCTCTAGAATCCTCTTGGATTTTGCTAACATCAACCTCCTCCAAGGCAAAGCTCCTGCCTGCTACTCTCAACCCTTCATTGGAAAGCAGAGTAAAACACTTCCTTTGGAAACTTCCCCTTTTCCTTTCCCTGGGGCAAGTTATCTCTTGCAACATAGTGCAAAATACCTATTAGAAGAGTGTAGGCTTAAAAGATTCTTACAGGTCTTGGTGTAAAACAGGGCAGCAGGTATATTTTTTTAAATTAAATTTCCCAAGGTTTGTACAGTGCCTCTTGTTTTCTAATTAGCTTCTATAAATACTAAACATACAAGCTACAAATAGTGCTATTCTGCTATTTTCTTTCTTCCAATTACTTTTCAAAAGGAAGAAGCATAAAGTTGCCTGGAGTTGACACCAGTCTGAATGAAAATCACTTTCTAAAATAAGTTCTCTTTCTTCCAACTCATGTCCAGGTGTGCTCCACACACGAGCACGAGCATAGTGCAAAGAATGTGCAGAGGAATCCTGCTCCTAGGGACTTGGAAATATGGCCTGGAGACCAGATTGCATGCATGAGTGCGATTGTGGGGAGTTCCTGGTTTTATTTTTCATTCATTTGCTTTTCATTCATCTGCTTACAGATAACTGTCTCTTCTGGGGGCATGCTAGTTCAAAAATTAAACATATCTGACTTGCAGTCAGAAAGTGGGACATTTGATGGAACTATGGTGTATGCGCAAAACAAGGTACAGTCCATGGTTTTGAAAACAAAGCCCAGTACTTGTTTTCTAGGCAGCTCATACTATCTGCTTTGCAAAAAGCCTGTTCTTCACTGTTGCTTTTTCATTGCCTCCAATTCATACAGAGCTGTAATCTTCAGAAGTATGATGGCATGCACTTAACAGTGCATAACCATCTTGTGCAGAAAGCATGGCTGGACTTTCATTTGATGTGATTTAAGTCTCAGGGGGAAAACTGTCTTTAGCTGACAAACCCTTCTGCCTGCTTAGTTCTTACCTACAATCTGCAGCAAGTAGATGTGGCCAGTAAAAGTGGCGTAACCGCTTTAAAAGTAAGCTGTGGCCAGGATGTGGATTGCAGTGACCGTGGTGGTCTGTGACAAAATTATCCAGTAAATCCCATGGGGATGACCAAGGGTGTATTTCTGCTATACATGAATGCCCTGGTATTTACAACAGTTGGTGTAGTTTATCTCCCTGGGAACTAACTTAGTGGACAGGCTGTTGAACTTGATGCTATTCTGGCTCTTTTTGCTCTATCCTAGAGACAACAAGTTGTCTTGACAGAACAATGGGCAAAAGCTCACAGAAACATCCATTTCTCTGTTATGCACCCCGGCTGGGCAGACACTCCAGGTAACATCGGCCTTACTCTCAGACTACATTTTTTTTCTTTTCAGAATTAGTCTAAAAACAAAGGGAAATGAGACTTTTTGGTAGATTTCTCCAACAGCTGCAGTGATTTCTTGGCTCCAGATTGGTGCTTGAAGTAGTTTTGTACCCCCTTGGTAACTCTGTTCTGCACAGTGTCTGCTATCTGTGTGTAGCCAGAGAATAATAATGGGCAATGAATGGTTCCAGCTCCACGCAGATGCACAGCAGAGCCATAGTGCATTCAGGTAACCTTTCAGTTACATTTGTAGTGGGACTGTTCAGCACACAGATAGAGCTTCTGCCTCTGTAAGTACCCATGTTGGGAATTTGTGAGGGCACATAGGAGAAAGGAGCACGCACCATTGTGCAAGCCCTGTTCCTCTGCTCTTCCTCTAAACGTTTATTGCCATCAAGAAACAGCGTGTTTGGCCAGACAGCCCCTTTGTCTGGGCTGCAGCTGTTCTTCAGTGACTGTGTCTCAGCAGGTGGGCCAGCATCACTTACCAGTGTGCATGCTGGGTTCTGCACTCTGGTACCAGCCCCTAACAGCCAAGCTTGGGATGCCAACTAGCAATCTGATCTCTAGGTCTTTTCTAGGGATGCAGTTTCCCAAACTTGCTTCTGATGACAGAAGAATTTACCCTGTCTATGTTATGCTTGAAAATGAAAACAGCCCTTTCCAACTAAATATCCTAGTATTTATTTTTCTTTAAAATATAATAATTTTTGCACATCCTTTGTGGATTTCAAACCTAATTAAACATAAAGATATCCCACCTTAAAGTTCAAGGACTTTCCAACCCCCAAAACTAAACAGCTGCAGGGAATGGGCCTTCAATCATCACCTGTTGGACAAAATAAAAAGAAACCAGAGTTTAAACATGAATTATGTAATTGGATGAGGTCCTGTTCACCGTGCATTTTTAAATACAATGCTGCAATTGGTTTCCTAAAACTGATGAGAAAATTAGAGCTAAAATTCTTAAGCTGAAGCTGGGAGGAGTGGCTGACACACCAGA